AACTGCAGAACTGCAGTCAGCTGAAGTAGCCTGCAGTGCTGCATTTAACCACTGCGCCACCTCAGCTTGCATTTAGAAATAAAACCAGATCTATATTATAGTCATAGACGAGCATAATGTAATCACTTTGCTTTTTCCTGAAAATTTCTTATAGATTTATTTGCTGAAAATTGGGAGGAGGTGGGGGGAATAAGCTGGTGGTTTATGTAGTTGTTTAAAAGGGATTGATTATGGGAAGAAGAGAATAATAATGTAATTTTAATGAGGGAGGTTAGAGAATAAATACGTAAGTACTTGGATGATCAGAAGTTGCTTCTCTATATATCCTTTATGCTAATTTTTTCTTTCTTTCTCAAATGCAAAACTTCGTTCCAGCTTAAAAGAAAAGAAAGTTCCCTGTGCAGCCAGTATTAGAAGAAATATGTCTCAAAATTCCTGTAAATGAAAGAAAAGTCACAAACTGACACCAAAATGAGACAGAAGCAACCTAAGATTAGGAAAAGAAATGGAAAAGTCTGAATCTGATAGAGTCATCCACTCCTAGCCTTAATGCACAAATTGGGTAAAACTAGTCATGACATAGAACCTATTCCAAGGAAGCTTTTAGAGCTCCGTTTATGTGAGACCTTATTTTAACCTCTCTGTGCTAAAGCAAAGCTGCTGCCACATCCATCAATTAATCCAGCTTGACACCAAATTAAACGATTTGCACATGTTAAGAAAGTAAATCAAATGGCCTCGGCCATGTATTTTCTTTCATACGTAGTAAAGCTATAACTTTTAGAGCAATGCATTTGCCCTTCATACAGCTAATGGTAGCATTAAGGGGGGAAATGACTATAAAATTGGTAGGATGGAGGTAGTTTTGGCTTTTTCACCGGCAGATGTTTCATTTTGTTAGTCAGTTATGTTATAAAATCAGTCAAAATCAGTGCATATGATTGGAACTTTTCCAACACTTAAATCATGTCTGGCTAACATGAGAAATGATGGGCAACTATAAGGAAAAGCAATTTTGGTATTCTCTACCTATTCTAGTTTGGCTGCTTGCTCCTTGAACTCCCCTTGCTTATAAGGACTTAGGGGGTGTATAGGGAAGATAGCTTTTCAAGCAGCTTTTGCTTAATATTGTTAAATGTCCTACTTCCTTTACTTCAAGTAAAGCCTTCCGTGACCCGTCAAAAGCGCGTTCCACAAAACGCGGTCGACGAAATCGCGTATGTGACGTCATCACAACGCAACGAAAAAGATC